AACATTGTTGAAGTGGTCAAAGAATGGCTTACATTCTCTGTTAGCAAAATTCCTGAAGTTCTTCTAAATCGGGACAAACCAGATTGCTTAAGCTAAATGTTCATGGAAGCTGCACGAACAGGAGGTGCATTCGGAAGAGAATGGAAAAACTGAATGATTGGATTTGCTGGCTTATTACACGATTGTCCACTAACCTTGTTAGAACTTTGGCCAATCTATCAAGAGACAGAAGTTGCAAAGAATATGCAATTCGAAAGAATAGAGATTCAATCTGATTTGTTAAGTTCTATGCTCTTAATCAAGCAGAACACCCCACCTCAACACCCACTTCTTCCATCATCCAGGCGATGAAAGAACTCCTTGATGCCAGGACTCCAAAGCTTTCCCACATTCCAAGAAAAATTATATTGCCGACTGACTTTATAATGAAAGCATTTCAGATGCAGCAGGATAAAAAATTCATCATCAAGCTCTTTGTGGCTTGAAATCTCTTCTCCTAGCAGACAGATGTAGTGGGTGTCAGTTACCTTAGATTGCTTAGTTGTCATATTCAGGACCATTGGCCTCTTTTATACCATAATAATAATAATAAGTCCAATTCCTTGACATTTGGTTGAATGTCAACCCATTTGTCACATAATCAACATTGAAGACGCCAACATACGTTCAAACTAGTCCAAGTAAAATACTAATTGACCAATATAGAATATAGAGATTTGCCTAATTTTAGTTAAACCAACAGAAAAGGTGTCATGATATTTCGAGGTTTTCAACCTGTCTGATGTTTTCATAGCAACAATATTGGCAACCAGGCCAATGGATTATTGTTAATATATAAAAAACACCTTTCATCAATTATCATGCCAAGGAATGACAAAAAATTAGAACTTCAAAGTGTAAAAAGGAAGAGAAAAGTGGTTTCTGCGCACCTTTCCTGCATTCCAGATAGAAACAAAGCTTGTAGATATTTACACCTCGACTGCGGTATGATTTTGTGAGCATGTATGTGCGGAACCAATAGAGAGCAAAAACTGCATGCCCAGGACATTTCATCTGTCTCTTTAGCTTCCAAGATTATATCCCTGAAACAAGAATATAAAAACTTCACACTACATAAACATAAATGAACAGAAGGAGCAAATTAACAGTTGATCAGCATATCTTTTGTAAGTATACTTTCAAAATGCTATCTGCAATGAAGCTGCTACATCAGATGAAAAATTGAGATTGGAAAAGGAGACTATTCTACTGACATAATGCATCAGGGTATGACCAAGCAAAAAGAGGGGCAGGGACTACGGAGAGACTCACGTGAATTGGAACCCAAATGGACCAAGAGCATCAATTAGATCAGTGCTCGGAATAGGAGTACCCCACTTAGGTATCTTTCAGCAAAGCATTAGGAATAACGGTTGCATGTTACAAGATTTAGCCAGAGTTTTCAACTTCCTTGCAAGCTCCTCTCCTGCTTCAAGATAATCAAAGTAAACATAGTCCAAAAACTTCAGTAGTGCCTGCTGATCAACACGAGCAGACAAACGGACTTCTTTCTGCATCTTTGAGGTGAGCTTCTTTGGAATATCTCTTACTAAAACATTATCAGTTGATTTTTGCACTCTTGAGGAAATTGCTCAGGGGGTAGCAATGATGGACAACGGACTGCAAGAATAATTTTATGAACACTGACAGACTCACCATTTGTGAAAAAGTATTGCAGAGTATGCTCCTTGTCTTGAAGTGCTTTCCCAAAGCCTTTGTCATGTTTATCGGGAAAACCACAAACACCAAAATAACTAAAAATATTTGCAGCCAACAACCTTGGCCCAGCGCAGATACATTATCCAAGACTTCTTGTACTGTCTTTATTAAATGAGGTTCGATATGAGTATGATCTATCTCAGAGAAATGCTGTACCAACTCAGCTAGTCCCGACAAACTGTAAAATAAAAGAGTGTCTTTTCCTTCCCACTATTCAGCAGTCATCCAGCAACAGGCCCTCTCATAAAACACATTATTATAGAAATGAAGGGAAAAGATTCTCCTCTTATTACATTGATTGCTCAAGCAACTTCTTATAGAAGCCACTAGTGTCTTCATCCCATCACCTCTAATAACATTTTTTTTTTGATATTGTGACAATTCAAATTAACAAATCAAACCAATCAATTCAAAAACAGTTTTAGGAATGTTTGGCGACCAGAAGTTGTTTGCTGATGATGCATAATCTAGAAAACTCAGCAAGCGTCTCAGACACTCATTTCCCTTCAGCTCTAGAACACCAGAAAGGATGAGCCTTTCTTTTGACGCAATATATGTGCTGCTAGAATGCATCATCGCTAAAACTGCTCTAGATGATGCCTCGCTTCTAGAGGCATCATCATTTTCACAAATTTGGCACCCTTTGCAAATTGCTTCTACAAAAGACAAGCTATCAGAAAAATATCAGCAAAGGTAATGAGAAAATCTGGGTGGCTAAAAAACCAAAAGAAAAAGAAAAGAACACCACAGTATAACAAAGAATTAAAATACATATCAACAAAAACATGAAATGCACATGAACTGGGTAGGCAAAACAGGAGTTACTGATGAAGAGGAAAATCACCATGCACACATGATAAGCATGTCAATATAGAGCTCATTTATATCTGTTCTTGGTCTAAAATCTTTTGCACAGTGCACAGCAAGCCATCCAAAAATCTCCCAGAGGTATGGCCTTAGTGCAAGAAGAAAATTAGTATCAAGGCCTTCCTGAGAAACTGACATTAGTTCCTGAGGTGACAAAGGATGCTTCACTGTTTGTTTGTCAAAATTTTCAAGTAGACTTTGTCAATCCCTTGCTCCCAAAAGTGAGAGTGATGTTCTCCCGGCCAGCGACTAATTAGAGCCAACCTACAAGCCTCATCTAGCAAAGACATCATCTCATTTGCACCCTTTCCGGTGCCCAACCTCCATACTCTCATGCCTCCAATAATGGCTTTAATTAGAGACCCAGAACGTAAGCTTGTCATTTCACACATCTCTGTTCATCTGCCTAAGTAATGAATGTAAAAGATTACACAAACAACAATAGAACACATTTGTTGAGGATATATGTGAAAGAAAACAAATTATAACCATTACTGCCAAATGCTGGGCAAATCTAAACCCCTCTATCCTAACCACCAGGGGCTCTGAACCATCCATGCAAGAAACCATCATTGTTAGAATTGTTTCTCCGTTTTCCAGAAGCTCCTTGACTACTTTATTGCATAGCGCTGTAACAAAGAGATATGAAATTGTTCAATCCAGAAATTGAGGGATAAAAACTAGTAAGTTAACAGATGATTCATTACCTAATGCAGAATACAATTTCAACACTGCAACTTTTGTAGATAGATGAGATTTAGTAAAACAATCTTCTAAAACTTTGATCAAAATAGTATCATTCCACACGAAATAACGAGATTGAGGCCACTGCCACAATATTGTATACAATAGAGAAGCCATCTCTCGAAAATTCTCAATTGGCCGGGTGCTACCAGGAAATTCTCAGATAATCCTAATAATTTGAATAAGAATCTTTGTTTCTTTGACTATATCCCAAACTTGTTTCTCCCTCTTAACACTTAGATTGGAAAGGACCATGTTCAAAGCTGTGGCAGAGGAAGTAGCAACTTCTAAATTGTCGGAACATAATAATGTTGACAAAGGGATGATGAGATCTGTCAAGTACAATTGCATCATTGAACTGTTACTGTTGACCAATTTCACCACCAAATTTACTGTCGTGCTTATTATGGCTTCACTTTTACTCTGCAGAATCCACACCAATGCCTCAACAATATCAGCAAGAGAATCCTGGAAATGGAAGCCAAAACATGAAAACTGTTAAAAGCGCATGGATGAACACAAATAACACCGGAATTAACATTTATAAACTACTTGGACGTCCAGAGTTAAATGAGGGGGAAAGATAAAGGCAATATAACCATCTACCTCAAATATGAAACATAAACCGAAACATGAGCAAGACCAATCTCCACAAAAGTGTTCTTGTTTCATAACTAGGTAATCAATTTACTTTCTACTTTCACCACTTGCCTTTTGCAACTTTTTTAATACACAAAAGTTGCTATGAACCAAAAAAGCAAATAATTAAAAGGAAAAGTCAGATTTGAGTGAAAATAGAGAGCTTCTGGAGAATTGCGGGAAGAAAAGAGACTCGAACATAAATGGTCATATTTTGTGTTCGGGTCAAATGTTATTTTTATTAAGGGTAAACCTTTGGTTTAGTGTCCCACCTATTATTTTTATTCTATTTTGATCACTCAATTTTTTTTAAAAAAATCATACCTAACATTTAATTTTGATTTCATTTTCGTTGACATAACGCCATAAGATAACACCTATCATTATTGAAATAATGATAAAAATATCATATTATCAATTTTGTTAATTTTTAACGACACCCAATTAATTTGATTTCTTAATTTATCTTTTAATTAATTAGATTTGATGTAATTTGAGACAGACAACCGCACCAAATGGTTTTTATTGGACTAAAATCTCTAATCCTACAAGACCTAAGGCATGTCTAGGTATATTTTTGTTTCCGCCAATAGAATATAGGGTAAACTACATATTTTGAAATTATTAGTTTTAATCCGTTTTAATATCTAAATTTTTAATTTTTTTAAATCTTATCTAATATTTAATTTTTATTTTATTTTAATACCTATTGTTAAAAACTTAATGCATTCAAAACCTCAAGTATCAATTTTTATTCATTTTAGTACCGAAACTTTCATTTTTTTCTTAAAACTTCACGTTAACTTTTGAACACCATACTAAAATAAAATAAAAATTAAATTTTAGGTATGATTTAAAAAAAATAAAAGTTTAAGTATTAAATCAGACCAAAACTAATCATTTAGGTACTAAACATGTAATTTACCCTAGAATATAACAAGTCGTAACTCAATGCTTGCTGGTTACACCTATATGAATCCGGGGATTGAAATATAAGGTACATGCAAAGTCGGGAAAAGTTGTTAAGGGCTAAGCAAGCTCTGAATAATGAATATCTCACCACTAGAAACAAAGTAACAAACCACGTGCCAATTTTCTATATACAAATACAGTAAACTTGTTGAGAGTTTAATTGAGGTGCTGAGAATCATTTGGTAGACCGCTCGCCTTCCTTTGTAGTAAAAATGAATGTTCTCTCATGCCCCAGCTTAGTTATATTTATAGCTGTTTTGCCAACTGAGGAAATTGTTGTAGCACCCATGTTACGGCCCTGATGGCACCCTGTAATGAAAATTTATCCCAGTTCATTATCATAACAAGAAGCATAATTACTGTTATCTGTAACTGTAAAACTACCTCCACGTTTACATTTTATCTACAACAGACCTGTTTAGGAAGGAGATAGTGTTGTACTATTTGGTTTCATTCTTTTGGGAAAGTATTGGACATGAGTATTTTAGAAATAATTAAAAAAAAAAAGGGATAAGTAAGGCTGTTTTATCAATGAAAGCTGATTTTCATACCAAAGCTGTCTTCCCAGGTTTGATTGCAGGTTCAACAACGTCTCGTCCATATCTGTTCAAAACAAATTTAGTCTCTAATTTTCTTTCAGTTAAAACAATAGAGAAACTATATTCTTAGCCAAGAAATTTGCATTTACAGGAAGGAAAGAAAAATGGAGTTTACTAAAATAAATCAAATGAGTCATCACTTACACTATTTGCCTTGTGCCATCCACCATCTCTAGCCGATAAAAGCTGCAACCTTTGCTGAAGGGAAAAACCTTTCCTTTCCATTCTGTTTAAATTCAACATTGTATGTAATAAACTATTTAATCAAATGAGGAAATGGAAAACCGAAATATTCCCTAAGATAATATTTAAAGAAATGCAAAAGATGGTGGATTTACCTAAATGCCATGTAACTCCAACAGCAGATGAATCCTCGGCAGAGATATCTTCAATAGCAAATTGGAGGTCCTTGCTTATTGAATCCATGAAACTCTTGAAGAACTCTAAAATTTCCTATACCATCATTCAATTTCCTTTAATCTTTCATCTCCCGGAAAAATAAAAAAACTAGAAGAAATCACAGTTGACAACAATTCAATAGGTTATTTTCGATGTATTCTGTCTCTCATATTTATGCACAACTTAGATATTTATAATATTTATCTCACAGTTGAGCACGGATGGAATGGAAAATTGAGTAGTTAACTTAGCTACAATGTTAAGTTACCTTGCGACCAATGAATGGACGGGGGAAGATAAGGTCCTCGTACACGCATTTCTCCGCTATTAAGGGCTCCACCGACGCCAGATCACGGCCATTGATTCCTGCGTAGAACCTCCTAACAACCTCCGCTGCATCCTGATCATGTGGTTTAGATGCGATGTCGAAGACGGCCGCCTGATTTTCTGACGACGACGATGATGAGACCATAAGGGTGAGCTGTGGCCGAGATCCTTTCAGCGGGGCAGTTAGCGTTCTTGAGTACGGTGGTAAAGATTTGGCGAGGACAGTAGGGAGATTAGGGGCTGGAGAATGAAGACAAGGGAGTGGAGATATTTTGGAGCTGAGCAACATTTTTGTGTTGCTAAGGCTCTGCTATTCACTTTAATTTTCTTTTCTTAATAGCTTATTTCTTTTGAAACTTCTTTTCTTTTTAGTGATAAGAGTAGGGATGGGCATGGGGTTGGAGACTCAATCTCAAAATTTTACATCATTCATTCGACTTGATCTAAAAAATATCTATAACCCATACAACTTAAATCTCATCCGATTTTTTGAGAAAAAAATTTGAATTTGATCTGATCCGAAATAATAAAAATATATAGAGAAATATTATTGTAAACATTTCTAATTATATAAGGTAAAATTATATTTTTTTCGATTCGGGTTGGGTCGGATATTTTTATCCTAAACCTGAATCTGACCCGATTCAAATATCACCTTTAAAAAATCTAACTCGACCCGACCTGAATCCGATTTTTTTTTAAAATTTCGATCTAATCAGATCATGTTAAAACCCGTCGAGTTCAAGTCTCATGCCATCCATATTTAAGAGCGGTGACGTAAAAAATGGGTACACTCTCTACAATAAAATAAGATCATAATTAATGATGATTAAAATTTGATTTTTAAGAAAATTTTAAATTTGAATTGAGTCGTAAAGTAGGAGTTGAATAATTTAAAATTTTAATAATTAATTGATTCATTTTTAAGTTCAAGATGAGTTCTTTAATTTTAATTTGATGGTCGTAAATATCTATTAATATTTAATTTGATAATACCAAAAATTTTAATATTTAGATTAACAAAACAATCAAATAAACCTTCTTTAAATCTAAAGAGACAGCTCCAAATAAAATCTTAAAAGAATTACAAAATAATATAAATTATTTATTTTTTTATACGGGTAGAGAAGATTAATTAAACATAAAATAACATAATTTATTTTATATGAAAGAGGAGAAAAGGAAAGGAAAGAAATAAACTATCGACGTGGAATATATAACTTAATAGAATCGAATCAATTCAAATTAGTTAATGTATAGAATAAATAAATAATGATAAATCGGTAAATATATAATCTATATAATTAAATGCTGCAGAGATAGATAGAGGGAGGAAGTCTGGGAATCTATATGCCACGTAATATAAAAATGGCGACGGTATAGTCATTACATAATCTATAAAGTGATTTTCTTAGCTATTTTCACCAACCTCTTTTTCTTGTTTTCAGTATAGTGGGAGAAATATGGGCAATTACACCGAAAAATCACTTTTTTAACTTTAATTAACTGTTAGATACTCTTTTATTTTTATTTATTAATTTAACACTCTTTACAGAAAGATACATTATTTGAAATGTGTCTTACGTTGATTTGACACTACGTGGGGTAAGACGTGCCCTTGAAGCGCGCCTTTGCTTTAATTTCGCAATCACCCCGCCTGTTCACACCCTTATTCCCTCCCTATAAATACATCCATTTTCAATCACTTTCATCACACCAAATCTTCTCCACTTCTCTCAAATACTATTATATTTTCTCATAGCTCTTTAAGGTATATTTTATTATATTTAATATTTTTTAGTATTTTATTTAACTATTTATTTTTTTAATATTTTATTTAATTAATTTTTTTTGCAGTTATAAAATGGAAGGCGGTCTACTTCGTTTGGATGGAAATCATATATCTCGACATTTTATTGATACGGTAACATTTTTACATTTTAATTTAATTTAAATTATTAATAATAATTTATTTATTTAATGAATGATTATTAGTTTATAAATTAATTTTTGTAATTATTTATATTTTAGGAGAGCGACCATAAATTAGATCATTTTATTTGGAACCTTAAGTTAGCGATACCTATCCATGTCTGGCCGTATTTAGTCGAGGTTAAATTCGGTCACACAACTAGATATGAAGGCCATTGTAAGATAGAACCAAATTTGATTGAGGCTTTAGTGGAGCGGTGGAGGCCGGAGACCCACACATTCCATCTTCCGTGCGGAGAGTACACGATTACGCTTGAGGATGTTTCTATGCACTTGGGGCTTCCGGTGGATGGAGATGTGATTTCAGGGATGGCGCAGGGTAGTTGGACTACTTTGTGCTAGGATTATCTAGGAGGTGTCCCGCGAAATTTTAACGGTGTTCGGATAACGTTAAATGGGTTAGATGCAAATTTTCAGAATTTGAGCGAGGACGCCTCATAGGATCAAGTTAAAATGTATGCACAGGCATACATACTTCAGCTGATAGGATGGTTGCTAATGTCGGCCAGATCGCACAACCAAGTTCATTGTATGTGGTTGCGACATCTTGGTAACTTTCATCTGGCCGGATCACTGAGTTGGGGCTCGACAGTTTTGGTATTCCTGTATAGGGAGATGTGTCAAGCGACTGATTACAAGAAAAATACTATCGACGGATGTCTCCTTCTGCTGCAGTCTTGGGCATGGTATTGTTTGCCCTTTTTATGTCCTGTTGTGAAGAACCCGTTCTTATTTCCGCTACTATTAAGGTAATTACAAAACTGATTTTGTATATTAATCATTTTATCCAGTGTATAATAAATTTTGTCCTTGAATAGGTGGTCTACTGACAGGAAAAATCATCAGGATCTACCTGATGAATTAGAAATAATCAGGCTGTTAATCGATCAGAAGGTTGGCAGAGAGGTATGCATTTTAATGTTTAAAAATCGATTTTGTATTATAGTTATATGATTAGATTATTATTTTAATAAGAATTATATATATTTGTTTTAGTTTGAACGGGTTCCATATTCTAAAGATGATGTAACACCCCAATTTAGGGGCTAAATTTTAGAAATTATAAAGTGGTGAATTTAATTGGTATTTTGAAAGAAACAAATGATTAAATTCTAAAATCGCAAAGTTAGAATACCATTTTATAAAGTGTAGGAAATTCAGTGGCTAAACTCTTGATTTGCCCAGTTTTGTTTAGGAGAGAATTATAAACTCTCTCCCCATGCTGCAGAATTCATTTTTCAAGTTTTTCTCCCCCGTTGACCTTTCTTTCAACTCCGATCTACTCACCCTCCGACCTCCGATCGACGAACCGAAACCACCATCGTGTTCGTTGTCGACTGATGAATAAAATGCCTTAAACGTTTCGTTATGAATCGGCGTCATTTGTCGTTAATTTCAGTAGGAAGTATCGTCGGTGTTAACTCAATTTTCGTTGGTTTTTTATCGATTTAGTCGATCCGGCCATTCGTTTTCGACACCTCCTGCACTATCGTGTTCCTTGCATCGTTCTGAGTCGGCCAGTGTCCTCCGTTTCTCCATCGTCGTCGGCGCGTGGAGGGGTGAAAAAGTCAAAGTTTTTGATGTTTCGGAATCAAGCTCTTCGCCGTTCAAATTTGTGAACCGAGCTTGGTAAGTGTCTCAAAATGCCTTCAAATAATTTTTAGGAATTTTTTCAGGAATTTTCCGACACCGTATTACTGTTCACGAACCGCAACTGCGCGTAGGGTGTTAATTTTGTAATTATTTTCTGTTAGGGTGATATTTGTGTAAAATTCGGGTGTTAGTCTTGTAAATATTTATAGAAGGTGGCTAATTTTGTAATTAATTTCTTTTAGGGTGATATTTGTGTAAAACGATCGACTATGACCGTTGACCGGTGTTGACCACTGTTGACTAGAACTTTGACCGGCGTTGACCAGGCGTTGAATGACCTTTGACTTTTATCGGGTATACCTATTCTAATATTTTTCGACGTCCTGAATCCGTTTTTGGGGCCCATTTTACCAAATTTGAACCCGATAAGTTGGTTTTCACTGATTAATCACCTGATTCGATCCGTTTTTTGAAATTAAACCCCCGTTTTTTATGAAATATTTATTATTATGTATTTGAGGAATTATTGGAAGTTAAATTAAAGATCGAGGGCGTTTGAATGAAATTTTTATGGTCGATCAGTATGGCACATAAATCGAGGTAATACTTTACTACCTCTTTATGCTTTTTGGAACATGTTGACATTGGTAAATGCATGAATAAGATAATGTTGGTCACTTTTGTGGAGTTGATTAATTTCTACACTCGATCTGAATACGGTAAAAAGGTTTAGTAATTGATTATGGTTCAAATGACTTTTATAAGAGATTGTTAGAATTAAATTACAAATTTTGTAATTAGTGATAAAGGAATCAGCATTGGATTTGTAACTTATATTTTATATCAACAAAGGTTAAATACTAAAGATACTCGGATGAGTAATTATGAGAATACTATGGTTGGGTAAAATTATGAAAATACTCTTATGTTGTAAAATGACAAGAATTGTCCATGGAAGTTGATTAATAAATCTGAAAAGACTTATTGATCTGATAAAACTACATATGTGTATAAGAAATGCTAGTTTTGCTTAGAAAATTTGGATTACCTGTTTTTAACCCTATGAGGGTTTGTGCAAGACACTAGAACTGTTAAGGAATCATTTCAAGATAAGAAAATGTTCAGGAAAACAATTAACTATATGATCTCTAAATTATAGTTATTTTTTGTTAAGAGTTAATACCGAAACTATTTGGTTAAGAAATTACAAAAATGCCCTTAAAATGTAAAAATAGTCCGAGTTGACCATGAATGAGAAAGTACTTTGAGGGTTCGTACTTAACTCGATAAAGTACAGATTTACTTGTTGAGATCCTATTTTTGTATGGAAAATTTCTGATAATTCGTTAGTAACATATGAGAAGATATTTAACTAGAAATCTTAGAGTTATGAGTAAATATTTGAAGAATAAATTATCGATGGTGCTCTTCTGTCAGAATTTTTTGTATAAAATGCAATTGATGATAAGTCTGAATTAAATAATAAGATCGGACGGAAGGAACTGATTAAAATACGTGGGATCTGTAAAATAACCAAAATACTCTTGTAATGAAAATGACTCAAGAATATCACCTAGTTCATGAATGAATAGATATCCTCAAGCTTTGAAATGAATGGAAAAACATTGAGCACCAAAATGACCATATGGTCTATACTAAGTAAATATCTTGGATTAATTAAGAAATTCAAATAAACATGGACGTTGTACTGCTCTTTAATGTTATGAAACACAATTTAAGCCGGACAAACAATG